TGTAATCCCAGCTACTCAGGAGGCTGAGGCAGGAGAATTGCCTGAACCCAAGAGGCAGAGGTTGCGGTGAGCTGAGATCACGCCATTGCACTCCAGCCTGGGTAACAAGAGCAAAAAACTCCGTCTCAAAAAAAAAAAAAAAAGAGGTTCTCTGGCCAAAGATGGGAAAATTTGAACAATAGTAAATGTAATAACTGCAATGAATGGAAACACATCAAATATTAAAAGTCATGAATTCCTAATCATATTGTCAAAATAAAATGCTATTGATCATCCTTGGAAAATGCAAGGAAACCAAAATCATTATTTTAAAAGCTAGCAAATAAAAGGAAGAGATCAAACATTTATTCCAACTTCCCTATGCATATTATTCCAAGTGACCAAGTAGTTGATGAGATGTTTCTCTTGATAGAAGTCTTCCATCTAATAAATGAAGAAAGAATTTTAAAATTCTAACATCACCGTTTTGCAGCCTTTAGTGAATTATTGGGTGTAGACAATGGTAATTAATGACTACCAACCTCACAAAAAGGCCACCAGATATGTGCTTCTGTATGGAGGTAAGCACCACCACCTATGGGGTATTTTTGCCAAATATTGAACCTCAATCTGATGATGTCCCTCGGTCTACTATATTCAGTAATAGTCCCACGTGGCTACTGAGCATTTGAAATGTGGATAAGGCAAATTTAGATGCTCTGTACATGTAAAATATATACCAGATAGCAAAACTTAATATGAGAAAAGGATGTAAACTATCTCAATAATTGTTAATATTGACTACATACATGATTTTGACATATTGGGTTAAATAAAATTATATTATCAATATTAATTTTAATTGTTTTTACTTTTTTAAAATGTGGATTATAAAATTTAAAATTATATTTGTGGCTCATATTTCTATCGTATGGTGCTGTTCTTAATTCTAACTACAACTTACAGGAAATACACTGGACAGAGGAACATGTTAAATGACACCAGAAGGACAGAAACAGCAAAAACCAGGCTTTAGAAAACTCTGCAATTTACATTTCTAATCCATTTTAATGGTGGAGTCAAAGTTACTAAAAATTTATGAACATGAGCACTGTAATTAATATGTGAGGTAGTCATCAATATCTGTGAAATCATAGATTTGATATCTCAGTTTCATTTTCACTATTGCTCAAATAATGCATAACAATAAAAAGCCTATATCTTTGCATTGCCTAATTTATCACCAGTGGTATGTGCACTGCACTATGGAAAACACTGATATGTTTTCAATTTTTAATAATGTGAAAACTTGATTATCTCAGTTTTTTCAGATAGATGAATACATAGTTATGATTTCTATGCTGTTAGAAAGCCTTTATTTTTTTAACCAATAAAATTAATTTTAATAATACATTTAACATAATATATCTAAATATCAGTTTCAACATGTACTAAATATAGCAATTATTAATGAGAAATTTTACATTCTTTTGGCTTTGTACTAAACATTTGAAATGTGGTTTACATTTTTCCTTACAGTATCAAATGCTAAATTTTTTGTTGTTGTTCTTGTATTTTTAGTAGAGACGAGTTTTCACCATGTTGGCTAGGATGGTCTCAATCTCTTGACCTTGTGATCCGCCCACCTCAGCCTCCCAAAGTGCTGGGATTACAGGCGTGAGCCACCGCGCCTGGCCATAAATGCTAAATTTTTATTAGAAATATTTAATCTAGATAGATATCTTAAAATTTACCTTTGAAAAAAATAGATTCAGATACCTAAGTTGTTACAAGCATATTTAAAATTTTTCAACGACTGAATTGTCAGTTTTAAAATTTAAATCAATGAAATTAATTACAATTAAATGAAAATTTAGAAACTCCTTCCTCAGTCACACTAGCCACATTTCAAGTAGAATTCCTTTGTTTCAAATTCATTTTGTCCTAAAGCTGCAAGTTGAATTTCTACATCTCATCAGAATGGACTTGTTTAAAATATTTTTTAATTAAAACAATGCAAAACCACTTAGATATGTAAAATTTTAAAATTCTCCCTTTTCTCTCCCATCTTTACTATTTTCCCCAAATTTGAGATCAAATTATTAAATATATTCAAAATGTTTCTAACTGTAAAAGTTAAGCATTGAAGTAGGCTTGCTCAGACTTCACTTTTAATACATTATTTCTTACATACCTAACATAATAGGTTCTCAAAAATATTAGGTAATTTGTCTCTTTATTAAATCAGGAATTATTTAATAGTATCTGAACTTTTTTTTTCTCATTTATGAGAAAAAATCATTCCAGTTTAGCATGGTTTAATATCTTATTGGGATAAATAAATAATATAAAATGTCTAAATAACTTACAGAAAGATAACATTCTCTATAGCAAAACACTGATACAGCATATACAGTGAAAGTAACGTTGCACTAAAGCGAGTGAACACTAGGGGGCAGTGTTGTTAGCGCACAACTCTCAAGAGGCCTGGAAAGGAGCGCTCAAACCAAATCCCCAACAGCTAGTGCGATAAACGGGGTCTAATAGCAACAAAAGAATGTGTTCGTTTAACTTTACGTTGTGAAGTTATATGGACCATATACATATTATTCACAAGGTGTTGGAGGAGATGCTTTGTTCAAACCCTGAGCCCTTATAAGGTTGGATTCAAGCTCTTTCTGGAAAAGTCTTCCTTATGGAATTTTCTGTCCCAAAGAAGAAACCACAGAGTAGGCATTGCCAGAAAGTAGCAATTCATAAATACTAACCCCAAGTGCCTGTATAATACTTAGTCCCTACCTCATTTTATCCTTTACTTGTATCCACCATTCCTTTTATTGTCTTCTACTCACTCAGGCTTCTTTGCAGCACAGTCATTTTTAGAATATTCTGGGAGCATCTTAGCTCTCACTCCAGCTTTCTCTTTCCATCCTCAATTCATTTCAACTCAGTGAATTCCAAAGCAACGAAAGTGTGTTAAGTAACTAATCCATAATGCCAGCCACTACCTTAAAGGATAGAACCAAAGCTTAAAAAAAAAGCTAGGAAAACTTATTTACATTTTCTAAAATTACATTGTTGTCTATTTTAAGGGCATAAAATTCTTGTGAGTAGTGACTTTAAGCTACATTTTGCAAATAGTATTGAGCATAATGTATAGATGCTTAATATATGATGAGGTAAACATTTACACCTCAGACTCCGAACAGGCAGACAGCTAAGTTCTCTTACTTTTTAAATATGCAATGAATTTTCTAATAGTCAGGTAACAAATCAATTTTTGTTTCTCCTTTAGAAAATTAAAATCTATATGTATTAAAAAGCTGTGCTCCAAATTGTGAGTCTGGCCTACTGAAATCTGAATAAATCATTCTAGAGAGTTGACATTACTTAGTTTTGAACAATTCTTGAAGTCTGTTTGGACTTCGTAATTTAGCAGCAGGTGTCTCTGGTGGTTTTAAAAGAACATGATTAATATAATTAGTCCTAGTTCGGTTTTAGTCATCTCTTTAGATCTTTTGTACCCAAAATTTCTATAGCCTATTTGCCTGAAATTGTATAAATAATAAATGGTTTGCCCTCCTCTGTATAGTAGCAAGCATCAAGCATCCAGGTTTTCACAACTTGAAATTTCAGCTCCTCTCAGCTTCTATCATGTTTGAGATATTTTTAGCCTCCCTCTATCAGTCAGAATCTCATGGAAGGGAAGTCCCATTCAAGAGGGTTGAGGCGAATTTAAAGAAGGGTCTGTTTACAGAGCAGTGATCAGAGTTAAGAAAATACAGCCAGAGAGGCCAAGGGACCCAGAGGGGAGCACAGTGGGAAGCCCTCACCACTGTAGGCCTGAAGAGTCAGACTAGGGGAAGGAACGGGGTTCCCAAGCCTGTGGGCACTAGAGCTGTGGACAGGCTGCCATTACTGGGGGGCAGATTACTGCTGAAATACCAGCACAGGAAGGAGTGGCACAGAAGGACCCAGAGCTGTCTCTCCCCCACCCTCAGCCCCCTAGCCAGGGCCTCACCTGGACCACCCGGATCAAGGCAGGGAAGAGCCAAGCACTGGGGAAGGTGGCCTAGGAAAGGGAGCGCCACAGACCACTGAATGTTCTCACTCTTAATAAATCAGAGTTTTACCCTTCAAGGGGGGTCTTTGTGGCTCTTCTCTCCTTATCTTTTTACTTCACTCTCCACATTCTTACCAAACCAAAGGGAAAACAACAGCGAAAGGAAAGTCTTCCTTACACACGTCAGGCTTTTAGACAGAACCTTCTTTTCCTCATCTCACGTATCTTGTCTTTTGTTTGGTTCAAAAGGAAGCATTTTCTACTCTATAAAAATCTAAAACTTTGTCTTCGCAGCATCTCGCTGTGATGAGCTTTGAAGTGGGTCTTAAGCCCTTTTAAAAGATGCTGCCCCTGATTTTGTTGCTGCACACTGCTTTGGGGAAGCTTAGTCAGTGATCCCATGAGAAGGGAACCTGTGAGATTCATTTCCTCCTGAATCTATTAGGAGGTCCCACTAAAGCCCCTGCTAAACTCATCATCCCCAGCCTGGACCACATTTGGTTAATTTCCAGTTTTTCCTTTTTTTACAATAACCCACTTAAAACTCCAGCAGGGGAAAAAAAATCAAATGCAAAACATGTTGTCACTTTTATAAGATATTGCTCTCCTTGCCCCACCCTCACCCCCTTCCTTTCTCCCCTTCCTCACTTTTACTGAAAGGAGGAAAGACAAGGAAATCTCAATGGCTTCATTCTCAGCGCACATTCTAAGTCTGTCGTTAAATGACCGCTGATTTTGTCACGTACGTATGAGCAGAACTCTCTAAGAAAGCAACTGATTAAAGCCAATGACTTTCTTTCAAAGAGCATTTGCTGCACTGAAATGGAATCAGTGCATAAAAATTTATTGTTATTTTTCTTTTTTTCTAAGAGTCCTCTCCATTATTCAGAAGAAGCCTGTCTTATCTTGTTTCCAAACTCCTCTTCCCTTTCTTCCCCCTGTGCTGCGGATTTCCTACCTTCTTCCCACTTGAGTCGCCGGTGCAAGAGGGGGGTTCCTGCTTGGGTCCCCACACCAGTCGGTTTTATCTCTTCATCTGCTTGTCTTCTGAAGATAAATCCTTGGCAGAACTGAAAAAAAAAAAATCATGGAATGGCTTTTTTACATTTCTGCCAGGGGGAGGCTATTTTGTAATCTTTTTGCAGCCTTCTTGAGCACAACCCAATCCCAAGCTGACTTGATTATCTCCTTAACTGTCTAGAGCAAAATTTAAAACTGCATTTTCTTACCTGCCCCAGGAGCAGATGTAACAGGGCTGAGTTGTCTTGTGAATTACTGGGGTTCCTTTTCTTTCATGAACAGATCTTAAAGGTCTTCCAGGGACCACTACTAGCTGAATAATCTGGATCATTATTACAGAGAAATTGTAATTCTTTTTGAAAGTCTTCGTGCATTCAAACATGCCAATATTTAGAGTTCAGTTTATTTGTCCAGGTTGTACAAGTTGCTAACAATGAAACTCCATTTATTTATTTGTTTGTTTGTTTGTTTAGAGACAGGGTCTGGCTCTGTAACCAGGCTAGAGTGCAGTGGCACAATCACGGCTCACTGCAGCCTCTGCCTCTCAGGCTCAAGCGATCCTTCCACCTCAGCCTCCCTGGTAGCTGAGGCCACAGGTGTGCACCACCACATCTGGCTAATTTTTGTATTCTTTGTAGAAAACAGGTTTTTCCCTGTTGCCCAGGCTAATCTGGAACTCCTGAACTCAAGTATTCCACCCGCCTCAGCCTCTCGAAGTGTTGGGATTACAGGCAACAGCCACCGTACCCAGCCGAGACTCCATTTGAATAGGTGGCTTCTATGTGAATTATTAATTTTGATAAAGAGAAAAGCTGACAAATCTATGTTTTTAAAATCATTTTATGAATTCAGTTCAAAAGAACAACTAGGGCCACCAGACTTCCCTACTTTACAAAGGAACGGCCTGGCCAAGGATATTCCAAACAAGAAACCTTTTCAAACTCTGCTTTAGATCATTAAAATAGGGAGATGGATATGAGCAAACCAATATAATAAGGCACACTAAGTAGGAGCTTTTTAATGAACATTTTCAAGGCATAGGGAAAGAAGCCACAAAGAGTCAAAGGATTTTTCCACACATACTGCCTTATTAATCTAGATTTCTCTTGCTTATTGTGAAACTATGTGATTGGATTAACCATCAGGAGAGAGACGTATTCTGTATTATAAAAGCTGTCTCTGGAGATGAAAATCTCTTCAATTTGACATTTTTCAAAATATCACAAAGAAATGCATTTTTCTATGGTCTTCAATAAAGAAAGTGTGTCAAGGCAAGACACACACGAAAAGAAGTCAAAGTGGTTAGTTACAATGGGCTAAGCAACAGCCACACTGAAAAATTCTACATGTAATGCAGTTTTCTTTTTGAGTGGAAAAGGGCAGGACAAGATATGAGATTCCTGGTCTGGAGGGTGGGCGAGATATTAACATATTAAAGCAGGAATGTGTGAAACATGCATTGTGTATTTTCAGCTGTCTCAGCCCATATCAGGCATAGCTCTGGGGAGAAGGGAGAAGGGCTGTTAATATCAACCAGAAAGTATCCCTGTGATTCTTCAGGCTGCTTGGGCAGTCAGCCTCCAGAAGAGACCCCACTCAACTCTGGGTCAGCCATGCACACTGGCCGCTCACCATCTCTATGACGTGATTCCAAGAAGGATGCTAAGCCATAGGCTCCCACCACTGCCACTGGCCAAGATATGAAATTCCCCTGACAAAGCTTTCTCATCAGCATAAGGCTTTGACTCCTGAAATAAACAAACTGCATCTCTTACCCTTTTCCTTGAACTCTACCCCCTACCCAAAATATACAGAGAAGGAGACGAGCAAATACAAATATATAAGAATTCAATTTAATTCTAATCAATTCAATATTTATTGAAAAAGTCTGAGCAAGACATTAGTTTAAAAAAACTATAAAATCTCAGAATGGGCTGCTGCTTTAGGGATACAAGAAATTAGGTCTTTTTTTAACTTCAAATCAAGACTGACAAGTTAACGTTTATTTGGGGGGTCACTAAGACAAAAGAGTTGAAGTCTGAGATGGATGGTTAATGTTGCATAAAACTCACTGGTCAAGCTATACATCCTGTTTGGATTCATTTGTCATCCTTGATGAGTTATCATCCACAGGGGTGTGGATGCAGCCTCCATGTGGATACCTCAGTGGACAGGAAGTCTTCCTTCTCTTCATTGACACCCAGCCTCCTAGGCCTGCCACTTACTAGCTCTGTTTCTGCCCACAAAGGCTACAGGAATTAGTGGAATCCCTCTCTCCTGTGCTTTTTCACTTTATTAAAACACAGGAGGCCAGACATGGTGGCTCACGCCTATAATCCCAGCATTTGGGGAGGCCGAGGAGAATAGATCATTAGGTCGAGGTCGAGACTGAGACCATCATGGTCAACATGGTGAAACCCCATCTCTACTAAAAATACAAAAATTAGCTGGGCACGGTGGTGCACGCCTATAGTTCTAGCTACTCAGGAGGCTGAGGCAGGAGAATTGCTTGAACCCAGAAGGCGGAGGTTGCAGTGAGCCGAGATCGCACCTTTGCACTCCAGCCTGGGTAACGAAAGCAAAACTCCGTCTCAAAAAAAAAAAAAAAACAGGAACCCTCAGAACCTTCTCCTCCTCATCCCCTGAAGCTTTACTCTCTCACATGATAAAGTTTCCATTTCCTAACTCTGCTGGACCCACTGAGAAAAGACAGTGCCATCCACCAGCAAGGACCTGAGCTGGGCTGCTCCAGGGAACCAGGAACAATGGCCAGCAAATCCCTCCCTCCAGGAGCACAGGGACCAGGCCCTGGGAGGGAGAAGCACTGATGCCAAGCAACCCAGTGCCTCAGAAGCACAGCAGTGGAGGCCGGGGGAAGTGAACAGAGCCTGCAATGCCTTCCATAAACCCATGTTCCAGAAAAGAACAGTGATGAGGAATTTCATGCTCTGATTTGCATCTAGCTGTTTATCCCAGTTAAGCCCTGGCAGTCAGGAGCCGGAGCTCAGAAAATGTCTGAGCACATTTACAGCTACTCAGAGCCACAGCCATGGACTGGCATTAAAACTGATTTCCAGGTCTGGTTGAAAGTGAAGAAACGAACAGTATAAGCCAGGGGTCCCCAACCCCCAGACCACAGACTGGTACTGGTACAGTACACAATTGCATCTTTCAGACATTCCTGTGGTAGAGATCTGGGAAGAACCGGGCTGCACAGAACAAGGTTAGTGGAAGCTTCATCTGTATTCACAGCCACTCCCCATCACTTGCATTACTGCCTGAGCTCCACCTCTGGTCAGATCAGCGGCAGCATTAAATTGTCATGGGAGCCCAACCCTATTGTGAACTGTGACTGCAAGGGATCTAGGTTGCACACTCCTTGTGAGAATCTAATGCCTGATGATCTGAGGTGGAGCTGAGGCAGTGATGCGATCACTGGGGAGTGGCTGCAAATACAGATTAACATTAGCAGAGAAGTTTGACTGCACAGAGACCTTAATAAATCAGTTGCTTGCAGACTTATACCCAAATCCTATCAGTGAGTGGCAAGTGACAATTAAGCTGCATCTGGTGGCAGGCTTTATAGTGGCAAGTGAGTTCATGTACTTCAATTGTATAGCTGCATCTAGTGACCTTAAAAGTATGTTTGAGACAACTTCAAGTTCCCATATGTTCTGGGTTAAACTCAAGGCAGAATATCCTGAGATTACAGTGACGGCAACCAAAACAAGATTACAGAGTAAACTGGACATAAACAACACACTTCGGTGTCACTGTCTCTCATCACTCCCAGATGGCACCATCTAGTTGCAGGAAAACAAGCTCAGGTCTCCCATTGATTCTACATTATGGTGAGTTGTATAGTTATTCCATTATATATTACAATGTAATAACAGAAATAAAGTACACAATAAATGTAATGGGCTTGAATCGTCCTATAACCATCCCCCAACCTGCTCCATAGAAAAATTGTCTCCCATGAGACTAGCCCCTGGTGCCAAAAAGGCTGAGGACCACTGATATAAGCCACAGAAAAAGTATGTTTGTCTGTTCGTCTCATGATTTCAAGATAAAATCCAAAAGTTAAAGAAAAAATGCTCTTTAAAATAGGCATAGGAATCTGTAATTGGAGCATATAAGAAAGGCAATATCATGATTACATTTCATTAAATAGTCATTGTAGAATGTTAGCTTTGAATAAATTATAACCTCAAATGTATCTAAGAAAATTATAGAAGTGAAAATATCTCTGAACATGCTCTTATTAGACTTTAATAACTGTAACAATAATTATAACATAGACACAGTTCTGTGGATGAAGTGAGTTCAAACACGCAAAGCACTTAGAACAATGCCTGTACCGAGTAAGCCCAATATAGCTATTTGCTCTTGGTAGATAGATGCCATTCTTTTCGTTAATCGTAGTTATAATTGAATTTTAGAAGGTTTAAATAGGATGAAAGATTAGTGCTCATTGAAGTCTGGGTTTTTTTTCCAATTTTTTTCTTTTAGCAGCAAAATCCATTTTTTCAAAATCCTTTCTCCAAACAACCCAGGAAATGGAGACCCCAGGGAATAGGCCTGGAGAAGAAGCTGCTCTGCGGGGATGGGGCCAGATTTCTGTATCAGCAGTCTCCCCTCCAGGCAACTCTGGAACCCAGTCCTAACACTAAGCCAAGGCAGAACTCTACCATTTGACAGATGAGGAAAATATACCCTATGGAGGTGAATAAACCTAGGGAGGTAAATGCTCTCATTCTCGAAGCTAGCACAGTCAGATTGCTCTCCAGAAAATAATACCTAACACATCTGGAAACAAGTGCTATTTGCAGGATGATATTCAAGATGTTTAACCACTATCCAATCAAAATGGTTCTGTGTAGTCAGAGCCTCGTCCTGTGTTGGGCATTAACTCTTTAGTTGCCTAAAGATCATAGAACATTTTTGTGGGAGGCAGGGTGTCACCGTTGAAGGGTTTGGTATCCCGGGGGGCTCAGGACAATAGCTAATTTCCAAATGGTATAAAAGTGATTTTAACAACTGGTGATTT